TTGTCTCACTGATTACATCTGCTTCACATGTAGACTGGAGTCTGAGTTATTTCTGATGGTGCAGTAAAGGGTCCCCGGCCTCAGGCCCTCTGCTATCGAGGCAGGATTGGGTTTCTACGGGAAATCCTGTTGGGGGAGGAAAATGCACCAGAGGTGTGATGGTCACTGTATTTCATGCCGTGAGTCCTTCAGGACAGCGTTGGCATCAAGTGCTTTAGCGTTCTGGTGACCAAATGCAGGGCTGTGCAGTACCTGACCCCGCGTGAGTGGGCATGTGGGCTCTGCCACTGCCCTGGCAGATGCCTTTGGGAAGTCAGCAGGCTGCAGATGCTGGAAATCCAAGGAGGTACAGACCACTGCCCAACTTGGGTAACAGAGACACTTAACTCAGAAAACCCACTGCACGGGGGTGATCAGCACTTCTGAGCATGCCAGCCACATAACAACCTCTCTGTTTGCCCAGACCCACAGCACCCACAGCACCGTCCCACCACCTGGGGTACACACCTCCCACGTGGCTGCGGCCGCACTCGTAAGCAAGTGCCGCTCCAGCACCAAGTCCCACCAGCCAGCACTTTCTGCTGGTTTCATTGGAAACCAGGACCGCTGGCTCAGCCAGCCCCCGGCCAGGGCACCACTCCCAGGCTCCCTGCCCGCTGCAGGACCGCCGTGCTGGTACCAGCCCCTGCAGCTCCTGGGCTGCAGGGTTCTCCAGAGCTCCAGCTTGCCACCCTCACATGACGCATCCTACGCATTCTCTGCAAAACTAAAGGCAAAGAAAAAACATGTTAAGTTCCTTATGGCAGTGCCCAAAGGTACTAAACCTGAAGATAACATCACTAGAGAGAGCCAGCGCAAGTTCTCTTCGCGCAAACTATTTCCCAGAGGCTAATGGCAAGGGAGAGAGAGGGAGAAAAACAAGTACTGACAGTTTACTGTAGGAGCTCAAAGAAAAAGTGGACAAAGCTAAAAGAACTCCAGCTCTTTGTTCGCATTTAATCCAGTTCAGAGCATTCACTGGTGCATACAGATTTACTTTCCGTGGCTGACGGAGCTGGATATGGTCATTCGGTAAGAAACAGAAGATCTAGGGTTTAAATTTTGTGCCCTTCAGGCTCTTAACATTTTAGGAAAAGTCAGTCTATAATATACATAAAGTTTTAATCTAATGTAAAAAGTGTGAGCCGCTGGCTAATACCTTCAAAGAAACAAATCCTGATCTTGAAAGGTGAAGAATGCTTTCTGTTTTAACACAGACCAAGTTTTTAAGGGGTAGAACGCTTCTTTTGGCTCATGGAAACCAAGGGAAAGACGGAGGACTCCTGACCCTACCCAAAAAGTTCCCTATTTTATTTTTTTCCTTCTCTTTTCAACTCTCATCTTGAATTTATAAAGGCACCGATTTATCAGAGGCCACTAGAATAATGTGACGGTATTAAAACACCACCGTCCACATATTTTAATGCAAAACAAATAGTCCAAGCACCTGATATCACAGTACAATAAAACTATCAAATCACCATGGCAGGCTTTTGCTTTTGCTGAGGATAGGCAGTTCAAGTTACACGCCGCCTATTTTCTAAAGGCTGTAGAGTCAATTCCTCTCTGGCTGAATTTGCAGAACACCGCATTGAAAGACAGCGAGGAGGATATATGTACAAGAACAGAACCAACAAAAGGGTTTGTGAGGGAAAGGTGGAGAGGCTGGGTTAGAAAGGGCAGAACTGGAAGGGAAAGTGTGGTTGCAGACTACAGTGGACTCAAGTAAGGCAGATGTGCGGGAGCAATTTTAGCGCAGCGTATCGGAAACGCACCTCCGACGAGTGTGAAGAGAAACGAGAGGGTTGGCCAGGAAATCTTAGGAAGTGCTATCTATAAAAATTATGAGAACAATAAATGAGGCACAGTATTAAAAGACAAAACTCTTTCTCCTCCCATCCCGTTCCAAGCATTTTCGGTCATCTAAGAAGGACCCCTAGTACTTGGGCACAGCTAGTATTGCTCAAACTTCTCATGTTCGGGCAAAACCTGACCTTTTTATCCTAACCACTC